ATCAGCCTGGAGGCCTGGTGACCGAAGGACAATACTCTTCGCAATAACTGGCATTTAAATAATGCCTTAAAGTATTTTTTCAAAGTGCTTCACATCCACCATCTTATTTAAGCTTCATAACAGTTCTATGTTGAACCATTTGACAGTGCTGAGGACTTTGGTGAGGAGACCTTTTTTTCCCCTAGACCTTCAGTACCTGAGACTGCTGAGGAGTCTGGGTTATAGGATCTGAAGAGATAGTAATTGCCTTCTCCACAGGGGTTGATCCCACAGGGGCTGGGGTAGAAGAAAGCTTAGTGTTCTGGAAGTGCTCTTCGTGCTCTTTCAGAACTTTTGGTGGCTAGAGAGATAGCCTTAAAACTATGAAGACCTAGGTCTCCCACTTCTTACATATACTGATTGTGTGATCTGGGGAAAGTGTCCCAGGGTAAATCACTTAACCTCTCAGAGGCCTGGACAACTCTCTAAGACTGTAAGTTGCAGAGATGGTATCAGTCTGCTTCAGTAGAGAAAGTTTAATCACTCAGGAGTTCTCTATATCAATTAAATCACAGGTCCAGATTCTACCCATACAGACACTAACAAATGCTTTTAGAATTTGAAGATGAATTCACTTATTACTATCAATATCAAAAACCTAGATATCACCTCCACCTCTGTGGTGCTTTATTCTGGGTCAAAAGGTTAAATTACACTAATATGTCCAGTTTTTTTAGATTTATCTAGGCTTTTTCCTCTCCTTTTAAATTTCAATTCAATTCAGCAAACATCAAGCACTTTCTGTGTGACAAGCAGCTTCATATTCTCCTAATGATAACAGTCTACCTTCCACCAATTTAGAAAGAAGGAAATTGGCAGTTATCTTTAAAAGAAAAGGCATAACAGGAAAACAGACTACAACGGATTAAGAAAAGAATTGCTGGGTAGGAAGCTGAGGCAGCAGGTGTAGACCAAATATGGAGAAGTTTATTTTCAAAAGGAAAGACAGGAAGAGGACGATAGCTTAAAAAAGGGCTATGAGATCCAGTGAATGGTTTGTTTTGTTGTTGTTGTTGTTGTTGTTGTTTTCTTAAAGAGAAGTGAGACCTGGACATACATGAAGAGGGAAGAGAAAAGAGAAAAGAAGCCACCAAAGAAGAAGCATGATAGAGTGGAAAGTGTGCAAGATTTAGAGTCAGAGGTCCTTTGTTACAATCTTGAGTTCTGACCCTATCTCTGTGACCTTGGGCAAGTCATTTATTCTCTCTAGGCCTCAATTTCCTCATCTGTAAAATGAAGGGATTGAACTAGATGACCTCTAAGGCCACTTTCAGCTCTAAATCTATCATGCTCTGATCATTGTGTCCTAAAGCCGGTATTCTGGATGGACTCTGGAATAAAAGGTGGAGGTAGAAATTTCAGGAAAGAGAAACAAAACCTCTTTATTTGAGATTAGAGAGAGGAGTGAAACGTAAAAAAAAATAATAATATGTGAAAGTGAAATGAAGGTATTTGAGGAAGCTAATAGGGATGGGCTTTATTTATTTTTTTTTAAGAAGTAAAATAGGTAACCCCGAGGTGGGATACAAGATAGAGACAGAGGATTCATTTCTTAAGCAGAGAAAATGTTTGGAGTACTTGTTATCAACAATGTCAACAAGCTATAAATAAGACAATACTGAGAAACAATGAGAGTTAGATGAAATTGGAGAACATCAATCTTCCTTCAGCCAGGTTTGTGTGTCTTTTCTAGTTAATCTTGTCAGTGGAGGAGGAAGGGAGAAAGTAGAACATGAAAGGGACCAAAATTGATGTAATAGGCTTGGCATGAGGGTAGAGTGCTAAAGAGATCAATAATGAAGTAACTTACCATGGATTTTAGGTTTAGGAGGGAGTCCAGTGTTGACAGAATGAGGCAAATGGACTGAATGAGCTTGAGAGTACCTGACTGATTAAATATCAAATTGAGGTTAGAAAAATAAGTTTGGTTGGTATGATGAAGGAACAGAAGAGATATTTGTGATCAAAGATGGAGAAGTAAATGCCAGGATTTCAGAGGTGATACAATCCCCTGAAATGACAAGCCTCAGAGTTTACTGATTTATATTATTTATGTAATACTGATTTATAGCTGATGTGGAATAAAAAAGGTCTGAAGAGTTAGAAGTAGGATAAGAGGCCATGAGATTCAAAAGTCTGAATACTCATCAAAACAGATATTGAAATTGCTGAGGATGACTGTAGGGAACAGGAGAAGAAACATGAATTCCCATCCTAATTGCTCCATTTCCTTTAAGAAGGGGGAAACAATTGATAAAAGTTGACCTCTCAATGAAAGAGGGCAGTGGAGGATGTGCTGTTATATATAAAGGGTATTTTATTACTATTGTAGTGTGAGTTCTATGGGGCACAATAGAAGGAGGCAGAGGGGTGATAGAGGCAAATAGGGGGAGGGTTCACTAAGGGTATGAAAAAAATGAGAGTTAAAGTGGAGGCAACAGAATACAAGTTTAGTGGCCAAAGTGGCTGATGAGAAGAATGAGGTAACGAAAGCTTTCAAGTGAAGGGCAGAATGTTGGGGTGGGGAGGGAGTAGAGGGAGTCCTGAGGTAACAGGATATGGTTACTTACGGAGTATGGGTAACTAAAGAATACTGGACTGGATTCACTGAAAAGAATGGGCTGGAATGGTTTGGTCTGGGTAAGGTTTGGGTAAGGTACACAGACAGTCCATGATATAATCTAGCATTCCAAATTGGATGTTAAACATTTTTTTTTCTCTCCTGGCTGGATATTTAGAGTAGTTTGGTTTTCTCTGTGTTATTCCCTAGTGGAGTGTCACCAAGAATAAGTTTCAGAAAGATCCTCTTTTTAAATTATTATTACAAAGTGAAATAGATTTCCAGCTGAAAAGTAACTCCCCCCTTTTTTTTGCTCCTTAGAGGAGATACCTGAGCAACAACTAAGGTAATTTGCCAAGAGTTTCCTTTTCTCCTTCTGCTCATCTCATAGCACTCAGATGTTTTTCTTCATGTCTCTTCCTTCCCCTCTGTCTCTCATGAAGAGGTGGCTCTCCTCTACATGCACCTGTGATCCTATTCCATCCTGTCTTCTCCAGAACATTACTCCTTCTTTCATCTTCACTCTCTCACTAATCTTCAAACTCTCCTTTTTTGCCTTCCTTTGAATACCTAGAGCACTTAATAAATGCTTGTTGACCCATATGAAATTCAGTACTAACTCTGTTACTTGTGTGACCTTAGGCAAGTCACTTAATTTTCTGAGCATCATCTTCCTCATTAGTCAAATGAAAGGATGGACTAAATGGATAGTAAGGTCTTTTCCAGCTCCAAATCCTATTAATCTATTTGAAATAAAAAAATAAAAGTAATTCCAAATTAGAAACAAATTATCACTCAGACTCACAGCAGTGTAGAATTTGAATGATAGTAGGATCATAGTTGTAGAACTAGAAGGGACCTCAGAAGCCATTTAGTCAACATTTACATCTTAATTTTATAGATGAGAAACCAGAGGCCCATGGTCACACAGACAGTCAACATCTGAGGAGGGATTTGAAGGACCAAGGGCCTCTAACTCCTGAGTTAGCATCCTTGTCTTTCCACTATATCACACTGCTTCCTAGAAGGTCAGTTCTTCCTAGCTTTCTTATAATTCTTATAATTAATAACATCCAAATAAGACAAAATATATATATAAATAATGGATTATATATATACATATATGTACATATATATATAATGAATAATGGGACACTCCCAATTATATATAAAATATTTCAACGGAATATGCTACAGAAGCTTTCATTATTTCTGATTGCTCTTCACAACACTTCACACATGGTACAATTCCACTTTCAAAACCATTTATTTATTAAGTGCTGACTTAGCAGGCAGGTTTCCTCAGCAAATCTAAACACATTGTGTTTATCCAATTATCTTGCCAGGGCTTTTGGCACTTAGTCTGAAGTCTTTTACTAATTTATTGATTAATTGGGATATTCTTAAATATTCTTACAAGGCATTGTGCTGGGCAATAGGAATACAAGATATAAAATAATTTTTTTTTTAGCAATTGGGGTTAAGTGACTTGCCCAGGGTCACATAGCTAGTAAGTGCCAAGTATTTGGTTTGAGGCTGTATTTGAACTCGGGTCCTCCTGACTTCAAGGCCGGTGCTCTGTCCACTGTGCCACCTAGCTGCCCCAAATATAAAATAAAATTAAACAAAAAGAAAAAGACTCTGGCCTTAAGACTTTACATTCTAAAGGAGCGATACAATGTGCACATTTTTCAAATGCATATTTCACATTGCTGCCAATGTAATATTCCTAGAGCTAGGGTCTGATCATGTCACTTTTCTCACCATAATCTAGTGAACTAAGTAGAATCTAACTCAGGGAGAACCAGGCATGCAAATATCATTACTAGTTATTCAACACACATAGGTGTAAGATTTCTTTATGTACGTCCCAAGTATGATCTTGGTATATCCAATGTTTTCAAGAAGGAATGAGAGAGTGATTGGGCATTTGGAACTTATAATACAGACATAATGGACCCAACAGGAAAAAGAAAAGGTTTGGTATAATTTGCTATTTTTAAAATGTATTTACCTTGCAGGGTGGGGAGTGGGGCTGCATAAAGTGAGATTAAAATTTGGAATGAGAATATGTCCAGTAAGGAAAAGATTAGATAAGTAAGGGTTGAAGGTAGACCAGAATTGTTGATGTAAAGAAAGAAAGATCTAGAGTGCTAAAGAAAGACACTATAGGAGATGACTAAGGTAGGAGGAGAAAAATGGGTGACTCATTCCATAGAGTTCATGGTTCTTAAAGGCAAATTTAGCTAGAGACTTTTCTGCAATCCCTACTACTGCCAGTTCACTTATGATATAACAGCTATTTCTCCGCCAATGAATTGATATATAGATATCATATTGATTAAATTTTCAACTGAGCAAAAGCATAAATCTATTTTTTTCTTTTTTTATTCATGTGCAGATCTATTTATCTGAAGAAATGGATACCTCTCCCTCCAAAAAATATCCTGTTAAAAAACGTGTGAAAATACACCCCAACACAGTGATGGTACAATATACTTCTCATTACCCCCAACCAGGAGATAGTGGATATGAAGAAATAAATGAAGATTATGGAAACTTTATGGAGGAAAATCCAAAGAAAGGACTTCTGAGTGAAGTGAAAAGAAAAGGAAGAACTTTCTTTGGGACCATGGATAGTCGAACCCCACCAACTGAAGACCCAAAAGTCAATGAGATTGAACAATTTCACAGCTTTGCAGAAAGAAATATTTTTCAGTCTAGAAAGACTTGGATAGTGTTGTTTGGATCTGCTTTGGCTCATGGATGTGTGGCCCTTATCACTAGACTTGTTTCTGATCGTTCCAAAGTGCCATCTCTAGAACTGATTTTCATTCGATCTGTCTTACAGGTATTTTCTGTGTTGGTTGTGTGTTACTACCAAGAACCCCCTTTTGGACCCAGAGGCTATAGACTGAGGCTCTTTTTCTATGGTGTATGCAATGTCATCTCTATCACCTGTGCTTATACGTCTTTCTCCATAGTTCCTCCTAGCAATGGAACCACTATGTGGAGAGCAACAACCACTGTATTTAGTGCTATTTTAGCCTTCTTGCTGGTAGATGAGAGAATGGCTTACATTGATATGGCCACAGTTGTCAGCAGTATCTTGGGTGTTTGCCTTGTCATGATTCCCAACATTGTTGATGAAGAGAACTCTTTGCTGAATGCTTGGAAAGAAGCATTTGGCTACACCATGACAGTAATGGCAGGACTGACCACTGCTCTTTCCATGATAGTATACAGGTCCATCAGGGAGAAGATCAGTATGTGGACTGCCTTATTTACCTTTGGTTGGACTGGGACAGTCTGGGGAGTATCCACTATGTTCATTCTTCAAGAACCCATCATCCCATTAGATGGAGAAACCTGGGGATATCTCATTGCCATATGCATCTGTTCTACTGCAGCTTTCCTGGGAGTTTATTATGCATTAGATAAATTCCATCCAGCTCTGGTTAGCACAGTGCAACACCTTGAGATTGTGGTGGCTATGATCTTACAGCTTCTAGTGCTACACATTTTCCCCAGTGTCTATGATGTCTTTGGAGGGGCAATCATCATGATTAGTGTTTTTATCCTTGCTGGTTATAAACTTTACTGGAGAAAGTTAAAAAGGGAGGACTATCAAGAGATACTAGATTCTCCCATTAAATAAGACTTGATTTTCATGTTCTGAATCGTTTGAATTATGTGCACTGCCATGTTGTATTCATGTATCAATGTTTTTTTGTGTTGTATAATGGACAGAGTTCTATATAATATATAGTTGTAAAAAGATGAAAAATATGCAAATGTAGAAAGATTTATATTAGTCTAAAATATTATAAATGCAAATATTAAATATGTGAAATACTGTGGACTTCGGTCTTTTTAAAAACACCTATTAGTTGAGGGATAACTGTTATAAAAGTACCCTAGCCTTAGTTATCATCGATTTCTGCACTAATAGAAATTACAAGAAAATGTAAGCTTACTGAAATTTATAAATTAGAAAAAATTAAATGGTATCATGGCACCTTTCATAGCCATAGTTGTTTCAACATTATACCTGAATCTCTTCATATACACAATGTACATTCCTGAAAAGCTGGCTGTAAAAAGAGGTTCTAATTATAAAACCTGATTTTTCCCACTGATTAGCATTATTAAATTGGAAATTGGCAGTACAGAGTAGGGGACTGATGTAGTGTGATTGGGGTCAGAAGGTAGTGGGGAAGGGAGGCTTTTCACTGATTTAACTTAGGTTACAGTAAGTAAAAGACACAGCAAAAACCTGCAGGGTCTTTCCTTTGTCAGGGTTGCCATGACTAGTGGAGGAGCATGCATTAGTCTTTGCACAGACATTGTGGATCCAATGCACTATTCTGTTGCTGAGGCAGTGTTCTTTTCCGTTTAGCTTCACAGGTTTACAAATCTCTCCTGGCTACTGCCCTCTTATCTTGCAAGAGAAGGAATGCTCCAAGCAACTGGCAGAGATGCCAGAAGTGGAAATAGCAAAGGAGTAAATTAATGTGGCATGTTATTTAAAGATTTTCCTCAGGGGAACCAAAAAAGTCTCAAAGGCATATTTTAATGTGTCATAATGCATTTGTTCTCCACTCTTATTAATTCAGTTAAAACACTGTTCTGTCTATTGGATTTGCACGGATAGGATATATCAATAATAGTAGAAACCTTACAACGAAACTTCAGCCCACAGTTCACTTTTTGAAAATGAAATGAGAATGCAGAGGTGTTCCTTATTCTACAATAATTAATGGGTTGTCTGACTTGCCATAATAATGCTTTATTTCAGATATTTAATCCTGCTCATTTCAACTTTCAGTTGACAGCTGAGTTCCCAGAAACAGAATGAGGTCATAGAAAACTCACTGAACTGTGAGTCAAGAGAGTTGGGTACTTATGCCAGATGGTTACTTTTTTGATATGTCACAACCTCTCTGGGACTCAGTTTCTACATCTGTAAAATGAAGGGGTTCAGGTAGATGATATCTCCCCCCCACCAGTTTTAAAACTCTTTGATTCCTGCCTTGGAACTTTAAATAAATAAAAATATTAAAAAAACAAACTCAACATTTTTCTGAATGAGGTGCATTTAAGATACTTTTAACTAATAAATGCTCGGTTGATTTTCTCACCCTTTCAAGTCTGAGCCAGTAGGGAAGGGAGTGCAAAGCTGTCTTACTTTAAGTACCATTCTTCTAATACTAAAATTTGAATTTGCAAAATATCTGAAGTTTACAAAATCATTGTTCACTCTATAAAGAGAATCACCAGGCAGCCAGGTGGTAGAGTGGGTAGAGTGCAGAGCCCAGAGTCAGGAAGATTCAGTTTCCTGAGTTCAAATCCAGCCTTAGACACTTACTAGCTGTGTGACTTTGTGCAAGTCACTTAACCCTGTTTGCCTCAGTTTCTCATCTGTAAAATGAGCTGGAAAAAGAAATGGCAAACCACTCTAATATCTTTGCTAAGAACTCCAAATGGGGTCACAAAGAGCCGGACTCAAATGAAATGACTGAACACAATAAAGGGATCCACCACAGATTTCTTCTGAAAAGACCTCTTTACTACTGAACTTAAATTATATGTTCAAAAATTTAATTTATGACCTGTTAAAGGGTACATTTATTTAATCATTCAATAAATGTTTATCAAATAGATATCAATTTGACATTAATAATATTGATCTAGTTATTTATTTATTAAGCAAAAACACTGTGCTAGGTACTATGAAGGTTACAACCAAGAATAAGAGGAGTGGTCCTGTGCTTAAGGTATAAATAGTCTTATTTGGGAAACAAAACATATTCATTAAAGTTAAAATAATTTACAGCTGTTTTTGCATTTTTGTTGGTAGATGGATGAATGGCTTACAGCTACTTGGCTCCTACTGTCAGTAGTGGCATCTGTGGTGATTGCCTTGTTGTGATCCCCAATACCAATGGGAGTTCTTTGCAAAGTAAAATTAATAACATGAATGAAGTGCCATATGAATGGTACAGATAATCAGTGCCATTGGAATTTGGAATGTGAGTGATCAATGTGGGCTAGAATAGACTGAGAAGTCTTCATGAAGAGGTAAAGCTAGACAGATGGGAGAATCTGGATGGGTAGAGAGGAGAAGGAAAAGCATTACACATTGTGAGAGGAAGAAGTAGAAATATGAAAGGTGTATCTGAGAGAGAATTAACAAACCAATCTGGCTGGGTCATTTTGTTTATGTGGAAAAGATAAAATTTGGAAAGGTAGGTAGAGGGCAGATAGTAGAAGGCCTTAAATGTATATTTTCTTAGGGCCAGGGTTCTCAGACTAATCCTTTTGTTATTTAAGGTATATTATGTTGTTCTTTGTTCTATAATTCAGAAGAATATGAATTCTGGCTAACAAACTTGGTGAAATAAAGGACTAGATAATAGTACAAATATATTAAGTGCTATTAATTTAGAGGATAGTGATAGGTAGTACACCTGTGATTTCATGGTTATAGGGAATTTCCTGAAGAAAGAAACTCCCTCTATCAAGTCAGTTGGCACTGTCTCTAAAGTTTATAGTCTTAGAGAGTTGTCCAGAAGCACCGAGAGGTTAAATGACTTACCCAGGGTCACAAAGTCAGTCTGTATAAGAAGTGAGACTTAAATCCAGGTCTTCCTGGGTTTAAATTGATTTTAAAAAGCAGAAAATTTGGATTTGAGAACATTGCTTTAAACAATGGGGAGGCATTAAGTATTTTTTTAGTATTATTATTGTAACACAATGAAAACCATACTTAGTAAGATTAATGTAGCATTGACATGGAGGATGGAAAGAGTGACACTAGACAGTGGACTAGTGAAACTAGTGATAGCTTCATATAATGGAAAAAACTTGGGATAGAGTCAGAAGACCTGAGCTCTGGGCCTTGATTTGACATTAACTAGCTGTGACATTTGGCCATTTACAGCCTCTCTGAGCTTTAGCTTCTTCACTTGTGAAATGAAGAGGTCAGACCACATTATTTCATAAGTTACTTCCCGTTCTATAATTCTGTGATTGTAAACTAGCTAGGATGACTATTAAAATAATTCAGATGTGGGACAACATAAAGAATGCTGAATTTAGAGTCAGAAGATCTGGGTTCAAATTCTAGCTCTGCAACTTAGTGCTTGTGTGAGCTCAAGAAAGTTGTTTGACTCCTCTAGGCCTCAGTAGCCTCAACTGTAAAAATGAGAGGGTTGGATTAGATGACCTTTAAGGTCCCTACCATCTCTAAATCTTTGACCTCCTGCTCCTATGATAAAGTATGAAAAGGGAAGGAAAGCTTCAAGGGAAAAAAACTGAACTTAAGACCAAGAGACCCATGGATTCCAATTCCTTCTCACTTACCATTAGCTATGTTATCTTTAAACAAGTCACTTAATTTCTCTGTGTCACAGACTCATCTGTAGAACAGGGATAATATTAAACATACTACCTACCTCATAGGATTATTGTAGGGAAAGCTCTTTGTAAATCTTATATAAACTTACATGAATGGGTTTTTTTTTTTGAGACATTAGGCAGGAAGAATCACAGGTTCAGGTTAAGCACAGGTTAAGTGTTTAGCTGGATATACACGGCAAGGGAGAGGTTGCAAGTCTTTATGAAGGAAAAATGATAGTGCTATTGATAAGAGTAGGGAAGACTTGGGGTGGCATTTTTTGGAAAAAAATGATAAATTCATTTTCAGTTCAATTCAACAAACATTTATTGAGCATATGCCTACCATGTGCAAAATAATCTTGAACTTGAGGTGATGGCAAGATAGCCATGTAGTTTAGAGGAGTACTGGAAACCTCTTTTTGGAAGCCATTTACATAGAAGTTATAATTGAAACAATGAGCATGGCTAAGTTGTATGAGATACAGTATACGTAGAGGCAAGCAGGGGGCCTATTCCTGAACCTTGAAGAAAGAAGAAAAACAAGATAGCAGGAGAAGAGTTTCAAATAGGGGGTAGTTAACTGCTGGAGGGCAAACTGGGCATGAGAACTGATCAAAGGTCATTAGATGTAACATTTAGGAGATCATTGATGACCTCTGAGAGATAAGTTAGAGCAGAATGCTGAGGGCAGAAGGTAATAATAATTACACCTGGATAGAGCTTTCTTTGTGACAATTCTGTGAGGGTTAATAGTTGAAATATTATTATCCCTAATATGTGGATGGGGAGACTGAGGCCCTGAGAAATTAAACCCATAATCATAAAGGTAACATAAGCCCAGTATTCTTTCCATTATCTTGTCAGGTTTTGGAATGAATAGATGATGAAGAAATAGAAACAGCAGACGGCCTTTGAAGAAGTATGACAGTAAAAGGAAGAAGAGGAAAAGGACACTAGGTAGAGGAGGGCATCTGTTTTATAAACGGCCATATAGGCCTGTTGAATTACACCATATAAAATAAACATTATAGTGTTTTCAAATTTAATAAATTTACAACTGAAATTAATCATTACAAAACACATTAAAATGTAATATTATAAAACATGGGATTTAAATTTATCATTGCTAGACTACTTTCTATTTCATCGTAGGGTTTTAAGAACCTCAGAGAGGGAGGGCCTTAGTTCCATAAAGTGCACCCGGCCTCATTGTTTTCCTAGACCACTTAGTTCCTTCAGTTACTTCCCCTCATCCCCACGTTTCTCTTTTTAATATATCTTTTGTTTTTACATCTCCTGTATTTCTTCTAGCATCCCTCCCTAGCACCTCCTAGAGAACCATCCCATATAACAAAGGATTTTTTTTAAAAGAAAGAAGCAATCAACAAAACTGAATGATACACTGAAAAAGTCTGAAAATATATACTAGGTTTTGTACCTGTGTACTTCCTATTTCTTCAAAGGAACTGGAAGAAATGTCTTATGTCTCTTCTGTGGGACCATGCTTGTTCTTTGTAATTTTGCAACATTCATTTTTGATTATTTTGTGGTGGTTTTTCTTTTCATTCACATTGTTGTAGTTACTGTATATATTGTTTTCTTGGCTATGCTTACTTCACTTTGCATAGTTCATGTTTTTCCTTGCTTCTTTGTAGTCATGAGGCTCCTCCAGTTACTTCTAATTGGTTACTAGCATTTGTCACCAGTGGTCCCACCTCTGAATGAAAAGGTCAAATATACTGTATAATTCAAGGCAAGGAGAAATCAGAAGGATTCCTTTTCTACCTTCCTAACTCCTAGTTCCTGTCACTTATGGATAGCAATGAACATCATCCTAGTTATCCTATAACCTCTTTGCCTTTCAAACCCCCTAACCCCTGCAGGTTCCCTTCTTTCTACTCACAGATCTTTCATTCTGGTGTAGGACCATATCACTTTACACCTGGATTATTTCAATAGTTTTCTGATTGGTCTCCTTGTCTCAAGTATCTCCCTACTAGAGTCCCACTCATCTGTTAGGGTAATTTTTCTAAAGTGTAGTTCTGGCTTCCTTCAAAACTGAGCTCAAATTTTACCATCTGAGGGACTTTCCTGACCTCCCTCCCACCCCTAGAGCAGCTGATGCTTTCCCTTTTCAGGTTATCTTCACCTCTCTATATGTCTTTCATGCACCTAGTTATTTACATATTGTCTCTCCCATTAGAATGTATACTCTTGAAGGCATTTTTTTCTTTCTTTATGTCCCCAGGACTTAGCATAGTACTTGGCACATAATTAACGCTTAATAAATGTTTTTTGACTGTCTACGGCATTTTGGTCAAATAACTTAACCTCCCAGGTCCTCAGTTTTCTGATCTGTAAAATAAGGATGTTAGACTAGCTGACCTCTGAGGTATCTTCTGGGGTCTAAATTTATGCTCCATTGCCTACAATTCTGCAGGGGTGAATTGCCTAGCTCCAAAGCTTCTCTTTAGCTCTGATTTCAACCATCCTCCCTCTCTAGACAGTCCTTACCGCCTAGCCCAAACAGCACTATTCTTGATTGGGGAAGAGGATTCTGATGTGGTATGAATATGGAACAGGCTTAGGAAGAATATGAGATAGGAAAAGAACCCACAAAAGATAATTAAGGGGTAAAGAAGAGAATACTTTGTAAAGGTCTTTACCCCA